AAATTAAACAAAGTAAGGAATGAAAAAAGGAGTCATGTGATGGAGTAGAGGACAGATTGATTTGTTCAAGTGTGAAGTAGTCTACACCCTAAAAACATGTCATTCCCCCCAACCTCTTAGACCAGGGGTCCTCAAACATTTTAAGTGGAGGACTGGTTCACAGTTCCTCAGACTGCTGGGTGGGCTAGAGGATAGTTTGTAAAAACATGAACGAATTCCTATGCACACTGCACATATCTTTTTTGTAGTCCGAAAAATTGAAAGAGCAATACAATATTTAAAATAAAGAACAATTTTAAATAACAATAAACCTACCAGTATTTCAATGGGAAGTGTGGACCTGCTTTTGGCTGATGTGTAGGCAAGTTGTTTAGGATCATTGTTGTTGTATGCCTTCAAATCATTTCAGACCTAGATTAACCCTAAGTCTATAAAGTTTAGGTCAGATGGTGGGTAAATGACCCTGGAGGGCCTTAGTTTAGGGACCTTCTTTTTAGACTGTATGTATGCTCTTGTGTCTCTTTGTTGTAACTTTCATTCTCCTCTATTTTATTGTTTCCTTTTCTATACTATTCCATACATTGTATAATATTGTATCACCTTCACATCCAGCTTCTCCCTCTCTTGGCTTATCCTCTACTCTTTATTTTGCCATACTACACTTAATGATAATAATAATAATAATAATAATAATAATAATAATCATCATCATCATCATCATCATCTTTATACCCTGCCACCATCTCCCCAATGGAGACTCGGGGTGGCTTACATGAGGCCAAGCCCAAACAACAAATTACAGCAGAATAAAACCGAAAACGCAAACAATTAACAACAACATCATAATTACATAAACATCAAGCTTTCCCACAAGAGGGGGGGGAGGACTTTCCACCTACCTGTGATTAGGTGATTCATACTTCAAATTGAAGAGGGCATAGCTATTAATTTAGAGTCAAATAATTCATTTAGTGAAACTTAGGCGTGTCTCAGTTCTACTTAAAAGGAAATCCTGTTAGACCCCTTTATAATCAATCTGTGTTTATTATTGTTCACATAATATTGGACACTTTGATAATTACCATAACTGTGAAGATTTTCTCACTTGTGACATTTCCTTCTCTCTCTTGGTTTTTTCTCTCTGCGACCCCACCCACTATGCTTTTAACCTACCACACCCCCCCCCCTCCAATGAACCACACACTTCAATGAGATTGGTAAGGCTGGAGCCTGGGGCCAAGAGTGCAGGCTTTCCTATTTTCTCAGGAGTAAACCCCATTGATTTAAATGAACAGAACACATGCTCTACTGCTGATCTTTACATATTAAACTTCTTGAATTTAATTGGGGAGGTAGAGAGCATGCAGTGACAGAGTCGTGTGGAAAATTTTTCTGCACATGCACTAGATACATTAATAACATCTCTGATTCAGTTACCTATCTTTGTAATCAGTCCCTTATAGCTGTACTGGCTGTGGATCAATGTCCTGTAGCTGAAATTAATACAACGTTCTTTACTCACCTTTAACATCACTCTTTATTAAACTTTAATAATCTAGATCTTTAAAGGGAAGGTAAACAGATTACATGTTGGGAGAGGTAAGAAAAAACAGGTAAGGATCAGTGCTGAAATGTAATTGAATAGATTGTTAGGTGAGATCCCATAATTTAGGACAGCCTTTCCCAATCCAATAATTTAAAGTGTTGGTTTTCAAAGTGGTTCCCTTGGGGCTCCACAAAGCATAATGAGGGGCTTCATGGTTCTCTCCTCCTCTCCTCCAAGCTTTCCCTCCTCTTTCCTGCTCTTCCCCCTCCACCTGCCTCCCTTGCTGCCAAAAGCCTTTTCTCCTCACCTCCCTCACACCCAAGAGCCTTCTCCCCCCTCCCTTGCCACCCAGATCCTTTCCCCCTCGCTTCCAAAACCCTATTTCCCTCCCATCACTCATGGGTTTCTTTGATTCTGTTTTTCTCACATGACAGAAGGGGGTTGTACTAGATGGCCCCTAGGGATGTCCTATTACTGATATTATTAGAAAGACTGGGTGGTCGTCTGTTGAGGGGTGCTTTGATTGTACTTTTCCTGCATGTTAGGAGGGGGTTGGACTGGATGGGCCTTAGGTTCTTCCACTGAAATACTGTTAAGTTTATGTTGGTTAAAATTATTCTTCATGTTAAATATTGTGTGTGTGTGTAGAGAGAGAGAGAGAGAGAGAGAGAGAGTCAGCTGATATTTGAGAATCTCTGGTTTAAAGACATGCTGAAATTTCACCATAGTAGGCAACAATCATAATATAATATATATTTTTGGCGGGGAGGGGGCGGATTCCAGTTTAAGGGGAAGAAAAGTTTTATAATGAAGGGGGGAAAGACTTTTGAAGATAGCAGTAAAAGTTGTAACAACCTTTGTGCCATTCTTGTAAATCCCCTGTCTATTTTGAAAAGCATATTTTGTATAATGAGTTAAGTCATGATAACTTGCCATAAAAATGTCAATTAGACTTTCTGCTAATTAATTAATTTCCCAATGTTTCATGGTAATTGAATAATGTTCAAACCAAGCATTCCGAGCTTTGTGATAGCTAGATAGATGGGATAGATAGATATACATGCATGTGCGCACACACAATCATTTCTCCATAAAATGGGGGACCCCCTGCTGGATCTTCTAAGTGATGCTGTCCTCCTTCCAATTTACTGCTGAGAGTTGAGAAGACTCAATTGTGGGTATTAAGGGAGACAGGCAATGATGCTGATTTTCTGTCTGCACTCCCTGCCAATGCTAAAAGCAGAACTGGTCCCCCTTGGCCTCTGCTCCTTATATGATGTTCCCTAGAGTCCCATTTTGACATTATGTCATAAGTCACTGGTGCTTTGTTCCCTGTTAATTGGGAGCTATTATTCCAGGAAGTAGACGAGGGAAGGAGAATGGGGGTAATGTGCTGTGGTACTGCCTTCCCCCTGCCTGGGTCCCTTGGGCTTGCACCACTTTAGCAAAGGCTTAAGAATCAGATGCATGCGTTGTGGGGAGGCACTCAGTTAGGGGTGTCAGCTCAACTGGAAAAAACCCCCAGTAAAGCTGCTTTCTGCAGGACTGGGAAAATAGCCTGTACCCCATCAGTCTCCAGAGCAAGATCTCTCCAGGATCAAATACCACAGAAGCTAATTCCTATCTATCCAACACAGGATGAGTGCGAAACCTGCCCCCTATGTGTTGGTGGTAAGGAGGAGGAAGGGGATTTTATAATGTGTTACCATGCCACTTTTATCAGTAAGCCCCTGACAACCCAGCATAAACCAGGCCTGTCTTCAGTTTGCTTCTCATAGTTATTTTTCCAATGCATAAAAGGATATATAGTCCCTTTTCCTTTTTGTTTATCTGCTTTTTCCTGTTGCATTGTCCTGTCCTCCTCCCCCCCCCCCCCCCCCCCACAACTCCAGTTCTTCTAAAGCAGGGTCAGACAAGCAGGCTTGGAAGGAAATAATTTATTCCAGTAAAGCTTAATCCTCTAAATATGTCGGATTCTTTAGAGCTGGGGTGGGGGAAGTGGGAAGAGAGTAATTCTAAATAGGAATGGAGATTACCAGCAGCTTTTTAAGATAGTGCAGTATCATTGTGATGGAAGTTACACCTGTTTCAGTGTGTGTGTGACTCTAAGTTATCCTGCAGCCACTTGTGGTAGTAAGGTTTGGGTGGATAGCAGCAGTTGTGTACCTTGGAAAGTGTCTGCCAACGTGCCATGTGTTTTTTTCATCCCAGAGCATGGAGAGCTGGCATATTTTGCATAAACAACTTTTCCCCACAGCAGCTATGTAGGTGATATAGTCGGACACTCCAATCTATGCTTTCAAGTCCCTAGTGACCAGTCTCTGTTCACAGTACCAGTTCAGTTCTCCAGTTATCCTCTTGTAAATTAAACCTATCCTGTATAAAATGTGTTCACACAAGAAAGAACTTGGCTAGCATCCAGGGTTTATTTTTCATCTGTGCTTTGGTGGTATCATCATAATCATATTTATTTATTTAGTGCCATCAATTGCACATGGTGCTTTAAAATAGAAACAAGCAAAACCAATGTTTCCTGCTAGAGATGTATAATTTTAAGTATGTGTCTGTACACACAGGTGAAAGGTGCAATAACAAATCACAAAACTAAACAATACAGCTTCAAAATAAGTCATCCAGATAAAGTGCAAATTGGGGAAGAACCACAAGATAATACAAAGCAGACTGACAATACATGCAATCAAAATATGTAAGACCACAAAAGATTAAACTAAATATGAAAGCATGTTCAAAGAAGACAAGCTTTGTAAGATCTGAGGAGGTGAGATCTAAAAAGGCCCATATCACTACAGTAAATTACGGCCCCTTAGTTATAATATTGGACTGTTTTTACGGTGATGTTCCCTATGCCTCTTTTGATTGATATTTAATGGTTTTCTATTGGGTTGGGGATGTATGGATGCTGCTTAAGATAGCCTTAGATCCATGCCTATGGAATAAAGCTGTTTGTAGGGATTGCATTCATTGAAAGAATAACTACTCTATTTGTTCATATGATAAATATGTCACAGGACCATAAGGAGCTGCCTTATACAGAGTCAGACCAAATAAACTATTTCATGTACCTTATTTATTTTTAAGTTACAGACAGATCAACTGATATTTTGAGAGCAGAGCCTAAACTTAGTACATTTTGGGACTGTATGGTTTCCGTAGAAAGTTTTAGCCCAGTAATAACTTTGCCATGCTCTCTTCCAGAACTTTCCAAGACTTTTATTTTTCCCAGTGTAAGAGATTAAATATACCGTATATGACACGATAATATGTGAACTAACTGAAAAATTGAAGGTGCTTCATTTTGTACATTTTTTCCTTCTCCTCTTTTATTGTTATTTTTTTCATTGTTGCACCAAGGTGAGCCATCTCTGTTTCCCTGCTAAATGTTTCCTCTCACACTGCTTTTATTCTCTCTCTCTCTCTCTCTCTCCCCTGCCAGATCACGTAGTAACCTTTGATCACACAAGAAATGCTTCTTCGCCATTATATGCAATTTTCCCTGGAAGAGAGCAGCAGAGGACAAATAATTAAATCATGAAAAACATCAAGTATCTGAAAATAAACCTCCTTGCCTGCATGAGGACCAGGTGAGATGCTGGGCTGATAAAAGAAATTATACCAATCCCTTATTCATCTGTATTGGAACTATCTATGTTATGATTTTTGTTAGCGCACAGCAATGGCCTCTCTTTTGGGAAACATGTTGAATGAGCATACAGAGAGAGGCAAGCACTACCCATACACACACCAGTCTCCAGCTTTGTCAATCTATTCATTGATTAGCAACAAGTCTGACTTGGAGAGATACCACTTCATAACGACTAGAAGCTTTCCATGCAATTTGAAATCCTAAACAGTCAAGGTTCACAGTTGCTTGAAGAAGACCAATATGTAGGAGAAACTGTCCTGTTAAAGGTCATGCAGACAAGGAGAGTGATGGAACTGGAGAGGAGTGTGACGAAGACATTCCTCTTGCTTCCATATTGATGCAAATAAGCAAATTCCAATTAATGTGATTATTACATAATTTCTTAAAGTACATTTTCATACTAAGATACATAGACTCTTACACAAAATTACTAAGCATCAGAAGGAGCATGTGTGCTGTTGTGGTTGCATCACTAAACCTGAGACAAGTTGTGGACCAAAGACTCAGGTCCTATTTATATTTATTTATTTCCATTTATGTCCTGTTTTCCTCCATCCAAAGCACAGAATTTAAAATGAAAGTTTAGCTTTAAATGGTATGATTACTAAAGTTTAAATTGCACATTAGTTCTACTAAAAATATAATTTTAAAATACATTTTGAGCATAATTTCTTCCTCCCAAATGAGCCACAACAAATCTTGGTTTCAAGGTGGTTTACATTCCGGGTTTGTTTGGAATCAATAAATCAGAAATACATTGGTTATTGTTAAGTGGGAACCTAACTGTTGTGTCTCTTAGCTTAGCCCTTCCTCACCTAATGACTCCTTGGAAAAGGCAGTGATCCTAATGGTAGTTTAAGATCTCTTGTGCAGACATACCTTAAGTGACAGTGTCTCTTATACCATCCATCACTGTTTTTGAATTCATCATGTAAGTCATCATGCTCATACGTCTTTGTTTATATAGGGAATAAAAGCACTAGGTCACACTGAGTTGTCAAAAGAAAGTTCCTGGATTCTGAAAGAAAGCTATTTCCGCTTAGTCTTTGTCAGGCTTTTATTTATGTTATTCTGAATGCTGTCTTTACAAGTCATTACATTGTCTCATTAGACTTTGGGCATAGACGAGATGATAGCAAGTGTGTTTTTTCAAGTATGAGGCTTACCAAACAGTGGTGATGAGTGGAAGTTCATCTTTGCTTACTCTACTGCTGTGATTACTGGCTTTTCGCCCCATTTATGTTCATCTCTGAGTGGTGTGTGTCTTCTGTAAGTTCCCTTTTCTTCTTTGCATTCTCAGGTTTCTTCTCTGCATGTAAGGCCACACTGATGACTCTGGAGATGTGCCTGCTCTTTAATGTGAGTACCCAGAGAGCAGAGCCCTGCTGTTTGTGGTGAGGACTTCGAAACACCATCTGAGCAGTCTGGCAACTCCTTCATCCTTTTGCCCTCTCCCTTCTAAAAACATCAGTCTGTTAGATCATCCGTGTCAATTTGCTATGACATACATCAACGCTGATGAGAGGCAGGAGCACTGTCGGGTAATTTTGAGCTGCCAGAATAATCAGCTGTATGCACAACATGGCTTAAAGAATTTCTCAATTAACGGCATGCATCCAGCAAAGAACTTGGACTCTGGTATTTTTACTGGTGACTTTAATCCTGTAAGAAAGACAGACAGCAACTCAGGGACACATCTGTATCGGAGTATGGAGAACCTGCACTGGGCTACAGTGGCTGACTCCCATGGCCATCCCCGTTGTGGGAGTGTTGACAGTGAACTTGTTTTCCATTACAGAGGCACAGCACATTGGTCCAAGTATTCCATGGAGGGCTCCCCATCCCCCAGCTCACCTGAATGCTGCCGACACTTTCCCCTTCTCTCAGAGCGGATGCCATCTGCATCGCGAGACATAGCCCTTCCTCCTTGTGCCAAAGTGCCTCCATGGCTTTTCTCCTCAATAGATGGGGATGCCAAGAAAACCTTGAAAGAAAAACTTAGAACTCACAGCACTAAAGTAGCAGAGGGTTGCAAGCCTGTCAGACCACAAGCTTCATTGAATGATCTGGTGGCAAGGGAATGCTCTGAATGTCGAGCGTGCAAGCAGTATAAGAACGGTTGTTCAGTGAATTGTTGCACCATATTTGTGCAGCACGCTAGCCTTGTTCATGAACCATGGATGGCTCTGGGGCAGCAACGCCCGTGTTTTTCTCGCAGGTTAACCAGTCCAGAGGACATCAAACAGGAAGCTCAGAGAAAGTTGCAGATCAGAAGACAGAACAGCTCACCCAATTTGACCCTCCACTGTGCCAGTGATGATCAGGATATGGTCAAATCCCAAACTACAGGATCTTTAAAAGGCTGTATGGGAGAAGTGGATACAAATAAGTCTTTGACACTGAACAGAAAAGGAGACTGCAAAGAAAGGCTTTACATTCCAACTTTTGAAGAATTTAAGAGGATGAGAATCAAGGAGACATGTTTTCTCCATGGGAGCAGTGAGACAGCAAAAGACAAGAAGAAGCTGGCTCCAGAGTTAGAAGAAAAAGGAAATAAAAACCTTTATTCAGGTGCTGACCAGGATCTTGCTAAAGAATCTGTTTCAGCACTGGATGATTATGATGAAGTGTTTCATGAAAATGCCCAGAGTGTTTCTGATCTTATCGGCTATCAAGACACTTCATCCACATGGGACAGGAGTCTCTGCCTGATGAATACACAAATGGCTAAGGACAGGAATGATGAAGTGGCATCTTCAGATACAACCTCAGTCCCTATTTGTTCTAGTCCAGTTCCAAGACCACTTCTACAATCTTCTGCTGTTTCAAGGGAGGTGAAAGCTCTGGAAGGAGTGGAGAAGCAAGGATTGGATGAAAGACAATTCACCAATGTCCTTCAACATGCTGGACAGTCCCTTGCACCTGAAACCCAGTCTTCTTGCTGCCCAATGCTATTAGAAGTGACAGATATATCCAGCTATGGAGCTAAGCTACAGAAAATGAAGGATGAATTTATAGGTTCTGCATTGGACCTCATTAAAAAGAGGTAACTAGTTCTCTTAGAGTTCCTGAGAGCATTTTGAGTTGAAAGATACTTACCTTAGAAATTCAGCTGGCAAGTTCTAAAGCTTCCTCTCTGAATTAATATTCTGTAGAGGTGATATAGTTTTGCTTTCAGTAGCATAGAAATTCTTGTTTGCAGTAGTTCTCCTTATCAACAATCATGAAGAGTTTCTTTCTCTGAGGTATGGTTGTAGTCAGGGACACAATGTTTCAGGCAGATTAATTAATGCATGATGGGGATGCATTTTTCCCCTTTGGGAGAATTGACTGGTTATGCTTGCTTATTTTGTTGAGTCAATAGTAATAGGTTTGTGAGAGTATTTTTTCCCATGAAGACTCAAGGGAAACAATTATAAACTATGTTTTGATGTTTTCTTTAAATATTGCAAAGATTAACTTCAGTTTGTCCAGAAAACATGACAAGCTTAAGTCAATTGAAAATAAATCTGAAAACTTTCATTTCTCATAGCTGTAATAGTGAGGATATGCATGCTGTGAGGAAGCTATGTTCATGATAGAAACCCTTAAGCTATGGTTTAGCATTATGTTTGAACTTGTCCCTTTGTCATTCTTGTTCTTATAGTACATTGTCTCACAGTTAGATTACACACCCCAACCAAAAAAAAAACTTGCATTGGCTAGACCACATCAGCTTTAGTTTCTTGAATATGGTTGTCATGATTTCTTATGAGCTTGCAAATGGCAACTGGTAGATGACATATGCTCTGTATCATGAAAAATTAGATTTGATATGGGAAAATGGTGACATTTATGGAATTAGCGGGTCAAATATACCCAGAAACAGATCTAACATTTGAGACAACAAAATGTGTGTTGGCTAGTGTTTTCATAGGCAAGCTTAATTTCTGGTTTAAGGCAATGAGGTCTGGGAAATGATGTCTAGGATACTGTCAGCTACAATCCCTGGCTACTGCCAATGATCTCTGAGACAGTTCTTCAATTGAGGGGATACAGAACCTTATATCATAGTATTTCACAGCCTTTGAATACTCAAAATATCAAACAGTCAGGACCAGTGTTTCCAGAATGGTGAGTTTAGTGGTTCTCAGTAAGTGTGAAAATGTTTTTTGTTTCCATACCATGTGTTTGGGGCAATTTATAGGTAGACATTAAGAGTGCAGTTGTGTATACTATTTATAAATACTCTTTTTGCATTCACTCAGTCACTCTTTCAGGTAGTGTGTAAAGGAATACAACATACATTATATTGTTAGGACAATACGTTAGAAAACCTAGGATTCATGATTCTGGAGTTTTGAGGTCATGTGCAGCTTTGTTGTCACTAGAATGAGAGAGAAAATATTTGCAGTATTTAGTGTTAGGTTTTAATAAGGACAGTAGGATTGGGAACCTTGGGGTTGGCTTCTGCAACATGTGGCAGAGAGGCTGTTTCAGAATGTGTCCATGTGCCAATAACCAAGTGTCTGTGTGCCATGTCTTCCTGTGTTGATTGCCTTTTGTGGCCTGGTTTGACCTGGTGCTATTGATCCATGTGCTATTTTCCAATGGCAAGGGGAAAACTAGTGGGGAATTACTTTGTGCATGACAGTAGCTCTCCACACAGGACAGCACAAGATTGACACAAAATATTATCCTGTCAGATAGGAATGGTAAAATGATGCCCCTTCCCAGGTTAGATTGCATAGCACCCACAGCTCCAGAACCTGATTTCCACTCTATCCACTTCCCAAACATCTGACACCTGATGGAGCTGCCTCTCTCAGCTTAATGGCAGGGCCAGCACTGAAGCAGCATTCAGGACAGGATTTATTTATTCATTCATGTGAAAAATGGGCTTCAAAGAGTGGCCTTTCTGGATTATTATTTTTGATTATAACACCTTAAGATTTCTGCTGAAATTCTTCACAGTTAGAATGGCACACAGCAGTCCTGTCTCTTATTTTTTAATTTCCTGCCTCATAATCCACAGTTGCTTGCTCAGCTCATTATAAAAGCAGATTAATGTTTTAATTCTGAGCCCCCGAGATGTCATGTTTATCATCATGGAAAAATCTAAATCCTCACATAAATTGCATAATGTTTTTGGCTGAAGCAAAATGCAATGCTGAAAGGGGATACTGATTTATTATGTCATAATATAAATTGTGTTTACCATGCTATCTAAACCAGCCATTCCTCAACCCGGTGCACCCAAAATGTGTAGTTCTCCAATTTCCATTATCCCCAACCAGTGCAAGAGTGGGCTGTTGTGATCAGAGAGGCTGTTTCAGAATCTAGTTCATTTGGAAACTGATTGACTGGGAAGGCCAGTTTTAACATTCTGAGTTCAATGGCAAGAATCAGATAAGAGTGAAATATGGGATGTTACTAAATATATCTCAGTAAATGAAATCAGAGTTTACAGTGTACAAGGAAAAGCAGTTCAGCATTTTAGAGTGATGGAGAGGTTGTGAAGGAAAGAAGAATCCCAGGTGAGAGATTCTTTAGGGTCGTGCATGTAAAAACACAATAGATTACTGACTAAAATGCATTTTTGTCAAAATCAAAATATTAACTAGTTCCAAGGATTATAGGGAAGATGAAAAAATATGTACAACCATCTTGATATAAAGTAGATTTGGGCAGGATTAGTATAGCATACAACACATGCAGAATCAACTAATCTTCCCTTCTGTGTTGGTACATCGTATTACAAATAATGGTTGTATACCAATGTAGATTGTTTATTGAAGGCAGAATTCAGTATGAGTAGATTACAGGTGTTTTAACTAGTAAGGTATCTATAAATTTATGAAGACTGAAAGGTAACAATAATCATTATCTATATCTTTTTCTTTTCCATTTGTTTTAAGAAGTAACTTGGTTCCTTATGAATGCTCATATTACAACTGTACAAAATCATATATCCTTCTGGACATTTTATTTTTTCTGCACAAAATGTATCCTGCTCCACATTAGAATATTGTTTGGATAAAGAGCGGTTTGAAAAAAATATCTTGAGAGACTTGGGCTGTCGTGGAGGTGAGGGAATATTAGGTGTTATTGAAGAAAACCTTGTTCAGTGACTGAAAGATGAAAAAAGGTTACCGAAAAGAAGGAATTGGACTTCTAAAGATCTCCAGTACACAAGAAAATAAATGGGGCAAAGTATTACGCTCTCATGGTTTGCTATGCGTACCTAGGCCTTTTGGGAATTATAGCCCAACATTAAGTGTAGGGCAAAATGTCCTCCACCCCTAATCTGGAGGCATCTTTGTTCCCTTGACCATTTCTTCATAGCCTGTAAGACTAAGAGTAGTTGAGGAACTCCTGTTCCTAAAAATGCCATTGAGTTTGAATTACATCATTGGGGATGCCCAGACCCTGTGCTAGAGAGGTAGAGACATAGAGTTGGGCAGTATCAAACTGTCATCAACTCCAACCTCCTTTTCCTCCCCACAAGGCAGATTTATCCATGCATCAGCTCTGTACAGATCAATCCAGATCACAGCACGCTATCAGCTGAAAGCAAGAGTAAGCAAGCTGGATTGCCGTGAGCTGTGTGCAGATCTGATAATGCCAAATTATATATGGAAGTGATTCAAGACACGTGGAAAATGCATATGCATATATGTATGTATGCATTCTCCAAGGTCAATAAACAAGTTCAAATTAGCACTGTTGAAATACTGTTTCTTTTGTGTACAACCTGCGACGTCATTTAGACACTACTTTCGATGCTCCTCATTACATTATTTGTAGTGCTATTTCAGGAAATCAGATAGGAAATCAAGGGAAATGAATCAATCTTTCCTTATGAGTGAATAAGACTAATTCAGTTGCTATTACAGCTTTACTTGTATATTGTAGGAATGTGGAACCCCTATTCACAATATGCATTACAATATGCATATTGTGGCAGGGACAATTGGGCATTGAAGTCTAACAGCTTCTGAAGGGCAGCAGATTCCCTAACATTGGTATCTATTGCCATGGCCAATATTATCATATTTAATCTTAACACTCCTCATACATGCATACGTATATTCTGTCTTTTTCAGTATGTCTCAAGATTCTTCATAAGTAGGGGGGAAGGTTTTTTGAAATATCATCACTGGCTGCCAGTTTATTTCCAGGCTCAATTCAAGGTGATTGTTTTGGCCTTCAGAGCCTTAAGTGAGATGGGTTCTGGTTATCTTTTGAGGGAGAGTAGAAGTGAGTAGATTGGAAGAAGCTCTCTGAGAGCTTCATGGACTGCCAAAAATACTAAGGAATAAAACTGGAAGTGGTTAGAAGACCACTTCTGTTTTTGACAAATAGGGATGTTTTTAATACTGTTTGGAGATGGGGCATCCAGAGAAATCTGCTAAAGACAAAGAACGCTGGCAAAGTGGTCATAGTCTGCCATGGGCCACACTTTGTATCTCATGGTAATGCATGCACCCAAGCAATGTAGGAAGTACAGTTATATGTATTGGATGGCAGATTTAGAAGAAAGGAAACACGAGACATTCTTAGTTTGACACAAATCAAATGTAACCCATAGAAACAGGGTTTGCATGTGGAATGCACACATATAATGTGAAAATCAGCAGTACATTTTTAAAGTTATTTTCCTTCTCTACCACCAAACTTGGCTCTGGATTGCTGTTTGAGCATTGTATTAATGTAATACTGTCCCTTATCTTATAGTTGCAATGCTGAAACTGCCTCTGACCCCTCCAAAGGATCATGTGAACTCAAGAAGACTGATTCCTCTTTTGTGGAGGATTCTCATCAACCCACAGTGAGTTACCTAGCTTGGAACACAGATGAGTTTTAGAAATCTGTCTGTCTTTTTATTGGGTTTCTGTGTGTCTGTTTATTCTTTTATCACATCTGTATCACACCTTCCCATTCCAAGCAACTCAGGATAGTACATACCTCCTTCTCATTTTTATTTTAATAGCTACATTGTTTGAAAGAGAGTGATTGAACCAAGATCTGGCAGTGAACTTGGAAGTTGAATCTAGATCTCCCTAGAACAAGTCCAGAAAACCAGCTGTGACTTGCCTTAACTTACCATTGCCTATCTTAGTTGTCTGTATTCTTGGCATACATCTCCTCCTGGCTCTGGATCTTCTTTCTGTTCCTTTCTATTTTCTGGCTTTGAGTGAAAAATAAATAAATCAATAAAGGACACTATGGGACAAATCCTGATACGGTTTCTTGTTACTAACAGTGCTGTCCTACTTAGAAGTAACTTGTTAAGTTCAGTAGAGTTTATTACTTATTTATTTATTTACTGTATTTTTATACCGCCTTTCTCAGCCTGTCGGTGACTCAAGGCGGTTTAGAACAAATCAGTACACATAATATCATAATACAAATTAAAACATTAAAACAATATAAAACCACAACAGAAGCAATAAAAATCAACATCATTAGCGTCTCCTTGTTAAAAAAAAAAACTTTGTCTAATTCCATCATATAGTCATTTGGTTTCTTGTGTCAGTTACTCTGCATTTGTAAATACTTGCTCAAACAACCATGTTTTAACTTTTCTCCGAAACGTTAAGAGAGAGGGGGCCGATCTGATATCCCTAGGGAGGAGGTTCCATAGCCAAGGGGCCACCACTGAGAAGGCCCTGCCACTCATCCCCGCCAACCGCACTTGTGATGAAGGTGGGATTGAGAGCAGGGCCTCCCCAGATTATCGTAAGGTCCTAGATGATTCATAAGGGGAGATGCGTTCGGCCAGGTATATTGGGCCAGAACCATTATTCACAGATAAATGGCTACCAGTTTGCAGCCTAAGTGTCATTGAAAATGCTGGCTTTGTTCTGTTGGCTTTAGTAAGACTTAGGTCACTATCAGTGTTAACTGGATTTAGCTATGTGTAAAGGAGCTGAGAGTTCTCTGATATTCATCTATAGATCCTTTGATATCTTGGGAGCTATGACAAACCAGTTTTGTAGTGGTTTAAATGATTAGTATAAACATCATTTTCAACTGTTAACCTACTGGATGGGGTAGAAAGGAATTTTCAGTTGCATCCAGGAATTGTGGAGTTGGGTATGCAAATAATATTTGCCATTGTTTGTTTCATGCTCAAAAAGTATTTTCCCAACACTTAGAAATCCCAATTGATTAGAAAAATACAGCAGCAAGAATTTTGCCCAGATTGTCAACATCCAGAAATGCTCTGGGAACTTATTCTGTGCAGAAATACACATGGGATTTTTTTTGCATGTGAGAATTGTTTGCACAAAAAACACTTTCCAGGCAGCCATGTGTAGAAACTAGCAGTCTTGCTTAACAAAGACCCCATCCCCAATTTTTTGTCATATCAAGGGCCCATTGCATGCTTACATCCTTATACAAGACTATAAAAACATGGACTTTAACATAAAATAAGAACTCTTACCTTGCCTACTTAGTTGATTCCTCAGCAAACAGGAGAAGGAGCAGAAAGAATTGTGTGTGTGTGTGTGGGGGGGGGGGGGGGGGGATGGGTCACTGGTGAATTAGCCAATTTTATTCAGGTACCCTATATTTTGTATAGTAAAACTATTGTTGTTATCATTAATAGTAGTAGTACTATTTATACCTCTTTTTTCTCTGCCAAACGAGAGTCAAATTGGCTAACATTAAAAACCATAACTATGTATTAATTAAAATCTAACATACATAAACAGTAAGATAGAATTAGGCATAGATATATTAAAAGCACCTAGTTAAAACCAATAAAACAATCAAACAAATCTATAAAACTACATAAAACTGATTGGTGCACTTGTTTTCCTTGCAGAGCTCCAATTCCAACTGCCGCAGATCCAGTTCTGACATCTCCCACGAACCTTCAGACTGCACCAAGGCTCAGCGGGAGTGTCGGCTACGGCCCCATTTCAGTGATCCAATGCCAACAGATGCTGTGAAGAGGAAACAACTGGAAATGAAGATAGCAGCAGCAGCCCGGCAACATGCCCAGAAGCGCCGACAAGAGAGAGATCCCAGTATGTCCCCTGCCTTTGACATAATCTATGCAGTTTTTGGACTGTCCTTGTCACTCAGAGTTCTGGGAGTATTTTATCACAAGGTTGACATTTATCATCTAGAACCAGTTTGTTTGACCCTGGCACATCTACCTCTAGACTTTTCCATTCGAGAATCATGGAATCTGCTTAGCAGCACATAGCCATCATGTATACTAGGAAAGTGGTGAAAATCATGTGACTGGGTGTATGACTCTTCACCCCTCCAGGCCCGCCCCTCCCTCCAAATCTTTTGACAATGAGTGCAGTCTTACATCCCAGTGTCATCCTGAAACAACCAGGTCCTGTCCAAAAATGAACAAAGGTGACCAAAGTGCCACTTCTTGTCATAGAAATGGTGGTAGCAGCAGTGCAGTACAATGGAATGCAGTTTGTATGGGTAGGCTTTGGTGGTAGCAAAAATAGCTCTCTGATTCCCAGTTTGTCCTTCCTTATAAAGGACTGCTACTTTGCACTGCTCCTGATTTCCTTTATAACTGCCTTTGCTAACTGGGCACCCTCCAAGGTGTTAGCCTATGGCCCCGATCTCACCCAGATGGAGAGGTTAATGGCCAAGATATTGGGTGACGGTAATCCAAAGCTCCTAAGATGCACCAGACTGAGGAAGGCTTCTTTATGAGAAGAATCAGACATCTGAAAGAATCAAGCATCATAAATTTGGAAAGATTTCTGAGACCATTCCGATTATATCCAGCAAAGATCCAGAAAAGGGGAGATCCAAACTACGACAGTACCACCACACTTTCATGTGTGAAGTGAAGTTCTAATTCTCTTCCCCTTTAGCATTCAGTCCCTGTCACAATGAATGGTATGACAAAAGATGAGTGGGAGTTGGAATAGTCCTAGAAGTAGGCAGAGCAGATGAAATCAAGGATAAAAGGATTTCTTACATTGAACCAATTGCAGATGAATATAAGACATCAGGCTAACAGCATGTTTACACACTAGCCAACCATTTGCATTGTCTTGTAGCTGTGAAGTCTCGTTTAAACACACACTGTCTGGATTTTTGACCATTCAGCTTCAGGGGATGACCTCAGGTTGCAAGAGAGAAAAAGAGCTTCTCCCTTTCACCTTCTCCAGACTATGGACAATTATTACATACACTTCTACACTTATCTTTCTTTGCTTGATATTTTTGAAAGCTAGTAACCACAATTTTTGTAAACTTTTCTCATAAGGAAGTTGCTTCAGTTTGTTATTGTTTTGGTTGCTATTGTCTGCACTTTTCCTGAACTGAAGCCCAGAATCCAGCTGGGCCTGGTTGTCTGCCAAGGTTGGATCAAATACTTTTACCGCTTTTCTTGGGCTGCAAATACAGATAAGCAAGCACCCAGAAAGGCACATAGTTACAACAATGTAGTTGGCTTAAGGGTGGGCTGAATTCTGCCCCCCCCCCCTATTTTCAGTTTGTATCGGGCCATAAGAAAGACATGGAATATGGCTAGTTTCGAGAAGGATAGGAGTAGACTGGGGGGGGGGGGGGGGGGGGTGGACAGGGAAAAAAAACACAAAATAATCTTTCCATTGCTGGATTAATCGGGCTGATGACTGGAATCTTGTTGGGGAGTTATGAATGTGTAACCTGGAGTTATATTCATAACTGTATTATACATGATCCCTACATAGTGTAAAATATTGAAAACACATAGGGCATGAAAATCCCCTAATCCCCACTTACCTGGAATCAGTCACTGTGTTTGATAAGAATCTATTCTCTTGATTGGGAAGCACCTGAATTATGCTCCTTTCCCATCCACCCCCCTCACATGAATGATCTCCAGCGCAAGGGGGAATTGTGATAAGGGCATTGCTTCTGCCTGTTCCAAAATAGATCACTCATGGAAGGGACTAGGAGCATTTATCAGCTGCTTCCTGATAGACAGAAGATCAGAACCCTATTGATTGCAGTAACTGCTACTTAGTAAATGGTGATTGCAGGAATCAGTACAGAATTCACTGTGTAGCTCCATAACTACCATAGTTAACATATTAATAATTGTTATAAAAGATTCCAGCTGACATTTCATAGAATCATAGAATCAAAGAGTTGGAAGAGACCTCATGGGCCATCCAGTCCAACCCCCTGCCAAGAAGCAGGAATATTGCATTTCTGCTGAAGGAGACTTTGGAATGGCAATAGCTGAATGGTAGAGCACATACTTTAGATGTAAGTTGCATCTCTGGCATAATCTGGTGGGCTGGAAAAACTGCCCAGTCCCAGCCAAACTGCTACCAGGGCAAGTTGGCCATATTAGGCTAGACAGAACAATGATTTAATGAGGTACTAGACATATTTCCATGTTTCATTGGAAAGTTGGTCAGTATTCGGAGAAAGTAATGCTTATTACTTTGTTCTTTTGTTCAGGCTCTGTATTCCCCAAAACAAACAGCAATTACACCAGCAACTATGATGAGAACCATCGGGTACTGAGTGGCTCCTTTCGTTCCAAATACCGCTGGAGCAATGTCAGCAGTCTCAGCGCTGACAGTGGCATTGTGGGTGGCAATGAGGAGAGAGACAATGCTGATATCAGTAGTGGAGGCACACCAAGGATGAGATCGGCGGTGATGGAGCGGGCAGACAGTGGCATCAGCCAAGTGCTGAGCAGGAAGTGGAGAAGCCGGGCATCAGAAACATTGACCTCTCTGCAGGCCTGGGAAGCCCATCAACCTTGCACCGACTGTGGTGGGAGAGATTTCCCACTGGAGACAGATGTTCAGAACCAGAACAAGAGACGGGCCACCCTCTGCGAGAAGTGCCTGAAGTGCCGGACAGAACGAAAGGAGTCGGTGCTGGAGTTTGTCAATACTGAAGCCAGTTATGGGGAGGACCTCCGCATCATCAAGGAGGAGTTCTATCTCCCCATGCAGGCTGCTGGCCTCTTAACACAGGAACAGCTGCTGGTAGTTTTCAGCAACATACAGGAGCTGATTGATCTCAACGAAAACTTTCTAGAGTATCTGCAGGAAGAGATTGAGCAGGCATTTGAGCAGGTGATGTGTAATCTCAAGCTTCTCCTCCCTTTCCTTGTGCAGCAATAATTGCCCATATTGCCTATATTGTAACTATGAACCTTGCAGTATTAGCAGCCCACAGATAGGAGCAGAATTGAAAGTCCCGCGTTCCTCTGCCATATTTCTACATATCTTCCACCGAGGTTTCCATTATTTTTTTATCCCCATGGCTGTCATCTCAAAAATGCACAAAATCCTTAGTAGGTTGAGAAAAGGCATGAGGATTAAATATACTCAGTCAGATGCAAGATGCTTATTATTCCAATAATAAGACTAATAATAAAATGAGTAACTTTAATAAACTCAGGATGATATTGTTTATTGAATCACCATTTCAAAAAGCTTTGGTCCCAGCCCCTGATTCTTCTTGAAACTCTCCGGTGTTTGCTATTTCAAGAAAATCTGGACAGGGCAGCCTGGTACTAGCTTGACAACATGTGCAAGTGCCCTCTAAATCCCTGATTGTTATTAGGTATAGATGTAGCCTACATGGTTCTCCTCCTCACCACTCTATCGCAATAACTGGCAAAAGTATGGTCATGGCTCAGTGGGTGACTTTGTTATTGTTATTATGTGTTTTCAAGTCAGCTCCAGCTTAGGCAACTGTATCATAAGATTTTCTTGGTCAGATGTCTTCAGAGCAGGCATGCCATGGATTTTCTTTGAAACTGAGAGAGTATGACTTACCTAAGGTCACCCTGTGAGTTTCCATGACTGAGTATGGATTCAAACCCTAATTTCTCAGAATCCTAGTCCAACACTGAAGCCACTTTGGCATACTGACTTTCCCAGTGGCTTTGGTCTTACTAGGAGAATTGAACCTGGATACTTCTAAACCCAGTCCAACACTCAAACCACTACATCATTTTGGGCTCTCATTCCTGGCTCACTCCTCAAAGATTTTGTTGCTAAGTTAAAAATTTGAGCACATGTCTGCTGGCTGAAGAGCAACAATGTGTACAGGTGGCTGATTCCACTAACTCCTAAGCAAAGCTAATGGCTTTTACACGCCACTGTGTAGTTTATATTATGTCTCGTACTTTATTATTGGGTCTGAAAGTAAAAAAATCTCACCATGAAATTAATTTTTTTGGCAGCATCCAAGAAAAGGCCCCTTGTGCCCATGGGAGAGCAATTAAAAGCAGCTTTGCTTGCCAACCATCACTGGTTGCCAAGAACAAAGGCAAGGCTAGTTAAATCCTTAAGTGGTATTAGAGCCACACGCCAAACTGGCCCTCTTTCATGGATGTACTCAAGGTCATTTATAATTTGTTGGAACAGGTCTTGCAAATTCATTATGACAGAGTAACACCCCGTGTGCACCACAGAACTATGAACCCTGTTGCTTAACTCTGTAAGTCCACTGGGACAGAAACCTTCATTATGAAGATAATGCAGCCATTTGGTAAAGGGCTGTAGCTCAGTAGTAGACCATGTGTCATAGCAGTAAAACGTTCCAGGTTCAATTTTTGACATTTCCAATAAGGTTCTTCTTAAGGCTTTTCTAACCTGAAGAGCTGACCCCACACATGGGATAGGCAACACATGGCTCCATGGCCATATTTGATTCCTTGGCCATGTTTAATCCACCCACCCTCTTCATATTGCTTCCACTATTGACAAATTTGCAGTGATTCTGGTGCTTTGTGGCTTGTTTATTTACAGTATTTATATTCCGCCCTTCTCACCCCAAAGGGTACTCAGGGTGAATCACAGAACATACATGCAACAAACATTCAGTGCTGTTTTATACACAACATAGACAGATAATTATACATAGATAAGAAGTATATATATTGGCTTTTCTCAATCTTTCTGGCATCTTGAAAGATGTTGTGCTCGATTCTGGCAATGGGGGCAAGGGGGTGCTATCGCTCCATCTTCCTACCAAAAAGCTAGTTTGTAACTTTGGATTGAATCACCGGCATTCCTTCTGGGTGCCTCAGAATATCTCCCCTGCTTTTTTATGAGCAGTACCCATTAATCTAATCACATTTTTGCTTTTGAACTGCTTGGTGGGCAGAAGCTGGGCTAAAACTTGGAGCTCACCCTGACTCGGCTTCAAATTGGTGTCAGCCTTTGACTAACAAAATTGACTACAGCTAGTGTTTAACCTGCTGTGCTAAAGCAGTATGGCAGCCAAATGTCTTTTAAACTCAGACTTCTACTTTAAAACAAGACACACAAGAAGAGGATGCTTTGTTGTATGTCTATTAGCTTGCTTGAATTGCTCCTGAAAGAATGAACGGGTTTCTAAACAAGGCATGTGGTCTTTGTGCACCTTGCTTTAAAACAGAAGTGCTTGGCTTCTTTTGCTTCTGCTATGCCACTCTCATATTAATAGCCATAGGGTTTGTGTGCCTTGTAGTGGGTTAAGGGCAGGTACCCTCAAATTGCATCCCTCCAGCTGTTTGGGCCCCCAACTCCCAGAATACCTGATCATTGAACAAGCTGGTGAAGGCTTCAGGGAGTTGGAGGTGCAAACAGCTTTAGGGAACACAGTTTGAGTATCCTTTGTTAAGTAAGGGGGATGGGTGGCCATATCTCTTATCTATTGCCCACTCTTGAGGTACAGCATATTTAGTGAGATGGCACAGTGTTCTGGTAGGGAGTAAGTAGTGTGTTTCTTAGGAACTGAAATAGAAAGTACTTATTGCAACAAAATGAACAGCACAGAGTATTGTTTTACTGGTCTACCTGGTTTCATTCTTTAGGAATAGAGAATTCCTCCCTTCTTTATTGTTCCCTTCATATTTCTTCAGATGAGTACAAAACCAGTTTTGGGAACCTTGCTTGTTTATAGTACTTGTATATCACAAATTACTAGATAGATTGGAAAGCCTCAACTACCCCCTGGGTTCTGAGTTGCCTTTTACATCTGTGTGGTAATCCACGACAACTAACAATGAAAATATTTCTTCCTTCACTGTTTTGTCAATGCCCTAAATACCTTGACCAAATCATCAGGCATGCTTGAACAAACAGAACAGTGAAGAAAGAAACATTGAATGATTTGTAGAAAATTAACAACGTGATCTAAGGATAAATTCATTAAAGCTTGTGTATACGGCTTACTATTTTTTATATATTATTTCAACAGATCTCCTCACATACATTTTTGCCCACCATAAAAGAACCATCTTCCATCTCCCACTCCACACTCCATAGTACCTGTCATTTTTACTTTTCCACTTCACGGTCACATTTGTACCCCTTCGGCCAGTCAGCTCTCAACACGCTCCTAACTTCACTCACTCACTCACTTACGCACCCACCTCTTCTTTGCCTTATTTCTCTCTATCTAAGCCTACTGTACCATTATTTACTGTAAGCTTTCTAGACAAACCTGAATAAACAATGTCATACAGTTGAACACCACAAGTAGCATGCTTCAGGTGATTGTCCTTCTCTATTAGAAATATGGGCTGGCATCCTTGCACAGTATTTATTATGCCATGCACCATGGTCACAATATTGTAAATATTGCAATTCACATTTAGGATTGTTTCACCTGTACCACTACTTCAGATGCCCCTCCCAAACCCATCTTACAAGCCAGGTTGCTACACTAAATAAGAGTTCTGAATGTGGCTTCTGAGCTGAAATTGTGAAGGGTCAAATTGTGAGACATAACAACAACTGACACTGCAGGAATTTGTGCCATGGTTCCCTGCCTTTTGGGATATACTCTTTGCCACAGTGCATTACAGTATTCAGCAAGGTGATACTTGTTGGTTTTAATTAGCTGATGAGCATATTTTGTATTTGCACTTTTATTTGTAACCCTGCATGGTGTCGTAGTTTGAGTGTTTGACTAGGACACTGGAAGACCAGCGTTTAAATCCCTCCTTGGCCACAGAAAGCCTACTGGATAACCTCTCTCATTCGGAGGCCTCAGTGGCTGCTGAGCTTGTTGACCAGTCACAGGTTTGAACGCGGGGAGCAGTTTGAGTTTCTGCTGTTAGCCCCAACTTCTGCCAACCTAGCAGTTCAAAAACATGCAAATGTGAGTAGATCAATAGGTAGCATTCCAGCGGGAAGATAACGCCACTCCATGCAGTCATGCCAGCCATATGACCTTGGAGGTGTCTATGGACAATGCTGGCTCTTTGGCTTAGAAATGGAGATGAACACCAATCCCCAGAGTTGGACTTAATGTCAAGACAACCTTCATTTACAGAAGAAGGCAAAATCCCTCCTGAAATAATCTTGCCAAGAAAACACTGTGATAGGATTACCTTAGATTTGCCAGAAATTAGAGATGACTTGGAGGCACACAACAGCAACCAAAGCCCAGTTATATTAAGAGAGCTTTTTATATAAACATGCACATGTTTGTTTGGTTTTTTACCTAACATTTTAGACAGAGTTGTGCAGCCATGAAGGAACATGTCTTTGGAATATTCACTTTTCCTGAGAATGTGTTCTTATGGAATTCCCTCTGCTTGGAAGGACATCTTAATTCCTTACTCACTAAATGATTTATCAGCCATCAGAATCAGGACATAATGACCAGTAGGAAGAAAATTTGAGCATGAAAATTTTTATATTAAGCTGACCTAGCAGGAAGATATCATTTTTGTAGTCCACGGCCCAAAGGAGAGAGGGTATCATCTCTTCCCATAACTATGGAATGAAGTGCTCCCCCCCCCCCACCTCTGGACACATACAGCATGCTTGGGCAGTGGGCCATGGATACATTTATTTGATTGGTAGATTTGTAAATGAAGACAAGAACTCAGTTGGAATGCTCAGATCTAAGCAAGATCAAGAGATGAATAATTCTCATACCTATAGTCATAGCCCTTTCCTGTCTCCCTTTTTATATGGAGCTACTTGAGTAGCATATTAACATACTCTGTATTTTCATAAATATCATTTAGTTTAGCCAAGATTGCTCTTATATAGCTTGCTCTTATACAGTATAAGAACTGGGAAGATCTCAGACCAATGTTAAGATGTGTTTTATGGTCTTGATC